CTTATGTCTTGCAATCAAAACATATTTATTAAACCTAAAGAGATAAATAGAGTACTGTCTTTGCTACCAAGGCACTCATTATTTAGAGAGTATGGATAGTCTTGTACACAGATACCATACTGCATAATACCTACTAAAATAAAGATTGTGTGAAAGGAAGGGAATGAATACCTAAGTTTATAGGACTTACCTTGGAAGAAGTCAGAGGAAATGATATCTGAGTGGGTTTTGTGGCACAGAAGAGGATGTAAGACCAGGAAGAGGAAATTCATGGACAAAGACTTAGAGGTGCAAAAGAATATAGCATAATTAAGAAATGAGTGACATTTTTTCTTTTACAGTTTTGGAGGTTAGATTGGATAGGGTGGAAGCTATGGGAAGAAAAGAGAGTAGAGAGGCAGATAATGCAGGAAAGTATAGTTGTATGCAGACTGAAAAGGTCTGTGGAGGAATTTGCACTGTAACAAGTATTGGAAGAGCCATTGACGGGCTAGACGACTGAAAGTCGAAAGGCCTGGAGATGGAAAGAAAGGATAAGAGGCTGTAAATCAGTGATTTCCGGGCCTTGCTGTACTTCAGAATTATCCTTGGCATTTGTTAATACAGGTGGTCAAGCTGCCCTACTGGAGATTTTCATTAAGCGGGTTTGAAGTGGGGAGGGACTATCTTAGTTTTTAAATAAACTCCATAGATGATATTGATCAAGAGCTAGGTTTGAGAAATAGCTGTGTGATAGCTCATGGCAGAAAGCAGGAAGTTTTAAAAAATCTCAGCTATGTTCATGGATAGGCAGAGAGAAGCTACTGTGTCAAGTCAGAAGATGCTAGTGTCCAACTGATTCACTGGAGCATATACTGCCAAGGCAAACTTTGGGAATTAACATAGAAGGCCTGGAGCACCTGGCTAGTCAGTTGGGATGGGGTCAGATGTAGTTTGTGTTAATATTAGGGCCAGTTAGCCGGTGCTGCTGGTATATTTTAAGGCTCCAAATGTAATCCAGAGGAGGGAAACGTCTTCAGACTTTCAAGGCATTGGTCTCCTTCTCTTGTGTTGCATAATTTTCCTTAGGCTGACTTATTCTTATACAACCTGAATATAGCCTCCATAGCCTGTGAGGAAAATGAAGGCACATTAACATTTAATGTTCAAAATGTAATAGCTTTTATCTCCCTTCTGTTCAAGTAGAAATTTCTTCCCTCAAAAATTTTCCATAGTTATCTGGGAAATCTATTTACCTTGTTCAGTCCTGGTCTTTTCCTTATCAAGCTCCCACCTGTTGTTGCCTTTCAAAGAAGCCCTGCTCTGTGGGCACATCTGCCCTTTCAGAGAGCCAAGGCTGGCCTGTTGTCTGTGGTACAGTGTGGACAGGTGCATGACCTCTGCCCAGCCCCGTGCTGGTTGTGTCCTGTGGGATGAATTTGCATTGCTGATGCCTTTACTCTCTCATAGTCTTTTACGACACAACTCCTTCATCATCTGGCCCTTATTCCCTTTCCATTCATTTTCTCCATCCCCCCCACCCTAGTTTTGTTGAATGAATAAAAAAAATGGAAATGATGGAGGATGACAGATGCCATCCTATCTCCTTGATCAATCGACTGATTCATTCATTCAGTGATTCAAAAGTTAAACTGAGCACCATGTGTATATAAATTAGCTTTTGAGTCTAAACACCTAGGTCTCTGGCTTGTGGGCTCTAGAAACATGGTTACCGTATAGAACACATCCATTCTCATATGAAGGAATGATTGTCCTATGCAGATGGCTAAGGTTCCTGAACTACAAATGCAGAAAAATTTTCAAGGTCTCCTGGCATAGAACAAGTGAAATTTGAAAAACCATTTATTACTACAGATAAATTTTAATCACGACTAATAATTTTAGACCTTAATGTCAGCCATTCACAATAAAGAATAAAAATGAGAAGTTAATTCTGATCTCGATTTAGGCCAGCATTCATTATTTTAGGGAAAATGTATACTAATTTTATTTAAAAAAAATGTGTATAATCTGTACTCCCACAGGGGACTGATTTACTTATTCAGCTTTAAATATCCCTGATGCACATAACTCCCAGACCCTGTCTTCAGTCTTATCCTTTGTTTTGAGCTTGAGTTCACATTTCCAAATGGAGGCGTCAAGCTCAGCGTGTCTTGTACAGGGGAAGTAGCACAGGATTTTGTATCGCAATGAAATGCATTTGAAATTTAGTAAACATTTTGTCTTCTCATTTTCCGAATTTCTTATATTTATTAATTTGGCAAGAAATTCTAGAATAAAAAAGAAGAGTGGCATTCTGCTTCCTCCTGGATTTTATTGATAAGTCTTTAGTGCTTCACCATTAGCCATGATTTTGTCTATTAAAAGAAAGAGCTTTCTGCGTTTATTAGCTTTGCCCCCACCCCCAGATTTGTTGAGAGATAATTGACAAAACTGTAATATATTTAGAACGTTCACTGTAATTATTTGATATACATGTACACTGTGAAATGATTACCACAATCAGGTTAATTTGCACATTTGTCACCTCATGTAGTTACTTTTTTTTTTGGTGAGAATACTTAAGATCTACTCTCTTAGCAATTTTTAAGTATTCAATATAGTATTATTAACTACAGTTACCATGCTGTGCATTAGATCTTCAGAACTTGTTCATCTTGTAACTGAAAGTTTGTATCCTTTGACTGACATTTCCTCATCCCCCAATATTACTTTTTCTTTTCTGATTTGGATGCTTTCACTTCATTTTCTTTTCTGATTGCTCTGGCTAAGATGTCCAGTTGAAGAATAGGAGTGGCAAGAGTGGGCACCCTTGTCTTGTTCCTGATCTTGGAGGGAATGCTTAAGCATTCACCACTGAGGATAATGTTAGCTGTGGGCCTGTCATATATGGCCTTTATTATGTTGAAGTATGTTCTTCTTATATGCAGTTTCTTGAGAGGTTTCTATCATAAAAGGATGTTGAATTTTGTCAAATTCTTTTTTAGCTCTATTGAAATGATCACATTATTTTTCTTTTTGTCAATGTGGTGTATCATGTTTATTGATTTCAGTCACAGTTATGTTGAACCATCCTTACATCCCAAGAGTAAATTCTACTTGATTATGGTGTGTGATCCTTTTAATGTACTGTTTAATTTGGTTTGCTAATATTTTGTTAAGAGTTTCACATCTGTGTTCATCAGGAATATTGGTCTGTTGTTTTCTTGCTGTGTCCTTGTTTGGCTTTGGTATTAGGGTAATGCTGGCCTTGTAAAATCAATTTGGAAGTGTCCCCTTCAAGTTTTTGTAAGAGTTTGAGAAAAATTGGGATTAATAATTCTTTATATTTTTGGTGGGATTCACCAGTGAAACCATCTGGTTCTGGGCTTTACTTTATTGGGAGGTTTTTGATTACTGATCATCTCCTTACTTGTTAATTGGTCTGTTCATATTTTCTGTTTCTTTATGATTCAGTATTTGTATTGTTCAGAAGAAGATTGCTCTATGTTTTTAAGTGTAGTCATATTTCACATTTTATTTTTAAAGTTATAATAAATTTGTAAAATTGCTTGAGAAGCTATCTATATCTGTAGTCAGAAATTTAAAAACTGGCTTAGGAATGATTAGTTCCTTGATTTTTGAAATATTTTTTAATGAAATCGATTGAGCCTGCCACTTTTGTGGGAATTTTTTTTTTGCAATATCTTTCCTAGTTTCTTCCATAATTATTCCTGTGTTCAAGTTTTCTGCTTCTTGAGTCAGTTTACTGATTTTGTATTTTATTCCTAATGACCAATGATGTGCATATTTTGATGTGCCTATTGGCCATTTGTGTATCCTCTTTAGAGAAGTGTCTGTTCAAGCCCTGTGTCCATTTTTTTAGTGGGGTTATTTGTCTTTTTATTATCGACTTGTAACAGTTCTTTATATATTCTGAATGCACATTTCTTATCAGACAGAAGATTTGCAAATATTCTCTCAAAAGACATTCTGTCAATTGTCTTTTCACTTTCTTGATGGTATCATTTGAAGTTTTTAATTTTGATGAAGTTCAGGTTATCTACTTTTACTTTCGTAAAAACGTAAAAGGTCATGAACTCCTGTGTTTTCTTCTAAGAATTTAATAATTTTAGCTCTCACATTTGGATCTATAATTCTTTTTGAGTTACTATTTTTTGGGTGCGATTTTGGGGTCCAACTTTATTCTTTTATATGTGGATGTCTAATTGTCCCAGCACTATCTGTAGGAAAGGCTATTCTTTATCACCCATTGAATTTTAATCTTCACATAAATTTTTGCTTTGGAACTTAATTAGAATGTCTTTGTCTTTTAATTTAATTTGAAAGAGGAGTTTAGCCCATTTACATGTATTATTATTGCTGATATAGTCTTACTTTGAAATATTATTTAGATCTTCTGATTTTTGTTTTCTTTTTTGTTTGTTTTCGGTGTTATTACTCTATGTGTAACCTTTTAAAACAGTGATTGCCTTTCCTTCAAGTTTATAGAATAAATTTTTTTAAGTTTTGTTTTTTCTTGCTGATAGTAAGAAAGTCTCAATAATATTTTTTTATAAACCACATATACCATAGCCTTATTGCTTGAGAGTCACATTTCAGGTTACATTAAGAGTAGGTATACAGTTTATCACTATAAATGTAGATGATTGTGTTATGAACTTTTTAAGGACAATGAAATGATAGTAGAAATTCAGAGGGTTTGATTAAAAAATGAAATGCCTGATATTAATATATGATAATAGTGATAAACGTATAGGATATTAATGTTACGTATAGGATATTAGTTATTAAATAATTGCTTTATTTAATAACTATTTTTCACTTGGCCTTATGTTTTTACTTCTCCAAATTATTCAGTGCTTGAAACATGTGTACCATTGAGGCTGAAAGTACTATATATAGCAAGATAATGTTGTTTAACATCACCAGAATTCTACAAGTATAAATGAAATTCAAGCTCTTGAAATATATTTTTCTATTTTCACACTTTATTATAGGAAGCATATTCTTTAATTGAGAAGGCTGAAGTAGAACAAAATAACCTATATACGTATCAGAAATACGTGGAAAGTTCAAAAAGAAAGAAAAGCAGAATCCCTCCACCACCTATCGTGCTATCTCGAACTCATTGTTCTGTGACATTGAAACCTGCTCCATTTATTTCAGATGTTAAGGTATGTAGTCCTTTATGATCTTTATCTCAGGTAAATCATTATGACTATAATGATTGATACTTTTATTGCTTTTAAGACTTGACTAGTCTTATTAATAAGCACCGAACATTGGGATTAGTATCCTAATGTCTTAACTATACTTAGTTTCTTCATGATCTTTTTCCTTTTATGCTATTTCCCTTTATGCTCTTTATAGTCTTGCTATACCCAAAAATATAGTAAGGAGAAACAATAGAGAAGCATTTCTAAGTATCTTCATCACCATGACATAGTCAGATGCTGACATTCTAGTATGACACTTGAAGAGGATAGAAGTTACTCTCAGAGCCAATGATGGAGATGAGGAAATTTGGGGATGGCAAATTTAGAGTTTCTTTCCAAAGTTCCTACAAGTAAATGAGGACTCTTTTAACACAAACACACACACACACACAAATGGGGATTCCAGCCACATTAGAAGTCATAAATTTTTATGTATTTATTGAAGAATAAGCTCTTTTTGCCATCCTCAATGCCTTGGAACTTAGCCTAAATGTAACTACAACTTGAATTTCCTCACAGGCATTTGGTTCACCTAATTCATATTTCACATATTACATTTTTCTCTTTTGGATGATCGATAACATGCTCTTTGATGTTGTATAAAAAAATAAAGTTGTACCTTGATTCTCTTTAGGATGTTCTGCTTGAACATACATCAACTTGGTATTGTGGAAAGGGCATGAGCTTTAAAGTCAGACAGATGAAGGGTCAAAATGCTAGCTCTACCCCTTACTAGCTGTATGACCTTAGGAAATCTAAATATACTTCATGAGGCATTTAATGTTTTTGTTGTTCTTTTATTTGTAAAATATATTCATTGTGAAAATTAAATGAGATAATACATAATATTCTTGGCATATCTTGTATTAATTTAATTATATGAACTAAAGTCTGCTAAAAACAATTAATGATGTTACAGACTGTGATTACATGATTTTGTGAGTTATTTTCATAAATTTTATCCAGCGAATGTTATCGAGTGTCTATTAATTGTCAAACTCTGTGTGAGGTAATTGAGGTAAAAAATAAACCCCCCCAAATTGTGGTTCTATTCTTTGAGGAGCTTTAGACTAATGGGGGATGGACATTTGGGAGAAGTAATACCATCTTCACAATGCTTTGTACTTGAGGGGGTGGACGTAATATTCACTTTACACCCAACTGTGCTATAATGAATACATTATTGCAATTGCTAGCAGTTTTAAAGTTCAACTTTGGATTTTTGGATCTTTTTAAAGAATAAGGAATCACCAATATTGGAAATTTAGTACAGAACCAAGACTGGATGATTTACCAAGAATTTGTTGTTGTTGTTTTTTTCAAACCTTTTGGTTTATTTAACCCAAATCTTATTTTTTTATATATTCCAAATTAATGACTAATTTATTTTATTTCCTATTGCTTAGAAATGGGAAAACATGAGTCCCTTATTTGACTGGCAGTTGTAGGATTCGACAGTTAGCACCCTATATGAAGTTTCTGTATATTAAACATTAAGAGAATTGTATGCTCCGGGAAATTATTACCTTCTGTTACCTACTTATCAACACTAGATGGTACTATGGGCTTACATATGTTTTCTGGTTTGAGGATTCAGCCATCTTCTGTTTTATCAAAATCTCTTGTTATGGCATTTGTTTCGTTAAAATGTTTTCATAGTTGAAAATCTGATGTTATTTATAAACTTTTAGTTCTAAAGTTAGTGATGATTTATTTATGATAGCTTTATTCTTATATGGATTCTAATTACGCATTGCTTCTTACAGTTGTACAAACTAAGATGTTTTCATCTGTGGAGCAGATAAAGCAGTATAAAGCCTGCTTGTAAAAATGCTTTTAGAGAGAAGTTTACCCTTCAAATTCTGCTTGATTTATAGAGCTTAACTTTGAGCAATAATGATCTAAGTCTTAAACATGGTCTTTTTTTTTTTTTTAATTTTCTCTCAATGAAAAATGTTGCTCTTTTTGCATGGGAGGTCAAGGAAAGTTAGTTTCTAAATTTTTTTCTGAGATTCATCTGATTTTTCCCCCGCCCCTGGCCTCCAGCTTCCAAGTTCCTTTAATACTCTCTCTGTCCTTGCAGTTCTGCCTTTGTCTTTTATTCCTTAATCACCTGTGAGATTTTCTTGGGAAATAAAAATGTTCAGCCAGCTGCACCAGAAATTCTTTTTCATTGAGGCTGGTCAAGTGTACGTGTGACTTTGAAAAAATGGTTGATTCTGTACAAACTGTGTGTTAAAAAGTGATTCTGCTGCATAGTCAGAGTTGAAAACTACCTGTGCAGACAAGACACAGGATTTTTCTGTTGACATAGAGGAAGAAATAGCAGGCTAAGCCGTAAGAGACTGTTGCTTTGTAAAGACGATTACATGTCCATTTTTTTCCCTGCCTCCCTTGTAATTTAGGTGTTGAGATGTTGTGAGGTGGAGCCTCTGGAGTAAAGGGAATGCCACAGTGATGACAACCCGATCCCTAACCCTCTGACAGGATGGCTCCTAACAATGCTATTCCCTAAGTGCCAACCTGCTCCCTTTTCTCTGCATTGAGAATAGTTCACTACAATAAAGAATCTCCATTATTTTGCTATCTTGGCAGAAAGACCATTGTCTAACCAATTAATCAAGTTTAAGTTTGGTTGTTTTTGTGGAATTTGCATTTTGCTTTTGGTTTATGTTTATATTTAAGAATTACCAAAAGAATATCATGTTTCTGAAAATTTATGAACTAGAGAAAAAAATTACCCATAATCTTGCCATTTTATCATCCAAACTCTATCACTATTCTTATTTAGGAACATTTTTTTCTAGGCTTTTTCATATGTATTTTTACATTTTATTTTAAATACTACAATTTAGTCTCTTGCTTATTTTTCCACTTACTTTTTTTTGTCATATATTATTAAATAAAATATGAAAATAATTTCAGTGTTGATCTTTTTTTCATCAAGATTAAGCCAACTTTGGAATCACTTTCTGCCACTGTCTGCTCTTGGGCAGGTAATTAAACATCTCTGTGTCTCCATTTCCTGTAAAGCATAATGATAACAGTAATTCTATGTCACGGAATATTGTGAATATTGAAAAGTATATGTAAATTTCCTAACAATACTCAGCACATTGGAACTGCTTAGTTAATGGTAGCTAAAATAATTAATAACAAATAATAATTAATTTTGGTAGTCCCAGGTAAATAGCTCTATATTTGCCTTCTTAAGAAAAGAAAAGTATTTCGTAAACTTAGATACTGTGTTTCAAAACTTGAATAGCTACGTTTTCATTTAGAAAAGTATTTCTTTTGCCAATCCTGATAAAAACAATGAATGCCTTGTTAAACAGACTACAGATGATGGGCTCATCTCTCTCTTTGGCAGGTCTCATGGTACTGCATTTTGGGTTGCAAAGCAGAAGGGAGCTATGGAAAAGTGAGACTAAACAATAATGATCTCCCAAACTCAGGAGAGGCGGTATGTCAAACTAAAAAAACCTCTAAATGTCAGCAAACCTTATCAAAATTCTCATTAATGACAATTGTTTTTTTCCCTTATGAAATAATGAAGTCATTATTTCAGTGAATTTTTCTAGTTTCAACTTGTCATAACTAAAATCTAACAGTAAATGAAAAAAATTTTTTAACATATAAGGTTTACTTAATTACATTTTTAAAGTCATACTACTTTTATTTTCCATACATAACTTGAAATTTATTTTTGTTAATAGATACCAGCTGATGGTAAAAGCATTTTTGAAGTGAAAGGTTTAGAAAGCAATGAAAAATATATCTTTGCAATTGCTGCTTATTCTTCTAATGGGAAGCTTGTCGGTGATGCTATTGGGGAGACAACTAAACCAATTCTGGTTTATCCACCTCTTTCTGCTGTTACTGCTCGGATGTTCCTGACACAGGTAGAAGAGGTTTCTGTTAATTGTTTTCTCTGTGTGTTTTTCCGTTGAGCAGTTACTTAGTAATTTCTGATGGAAAAAAATCACAAGCAGATATTCTAAAGCTCATATGTTTTCCATTACTGAAATAAACTCTCATAAAATAGGAATCATTCCTTCTCTTTTAATGAGTTTGCTTTTTACAATAACATTTCTTTCCCACATTATAAATGTAACACAACTAATTTTAGATATTTTGGAAAATATTGAAATGCATAAAGAAGAAAATGAATGTTATCTCTTATTCTGTCATCCTGAGTAGCAATTTTTAACCTGGGTAGGTTTGGCTCCCAGGGGACATTTGTCAATGTCTGGAGACATTTATGGTTGTCATAATCTAAAAGGATGCTACTGGCATCTACTGGGTAAAGGCCAGTGATGCTGATAAGCACCCTATAATGCAAAGGACAGCAACCCCCCCCCAACAAAGAATTCTCTAATCCAAAAATCTCAATAGTTCCAAGGTTGAGAAACCCTGGTTCCAGGGATATCCTTTCATCAGTATGTGTATTTGTGTGTGTGTGTTTATATACATATATACATATATGTATGAATTTATGTATAATATGTAATTTTAATCATAGTATACATATTATTTTACATGATATTTTTATTTAATATGTAACTGACATGTTTGCATTCTATTAAATATTCTTCTAAAACATAATTTTTAACAGCTGCATGGTATTATCTGTTTTATAGATCATGGTTTATTTAGTAATTCTTCATTGTTGGGTAAATTTAGATGCTTTCCAGTCTTTTGCTATTATAAGTAAAGTTGTGATGCACATCTTTTGTATAAACCTTTGCTTGCAACTATGATTACTTTCTTAGGATAAATTTATAGAAGTGAAATTTCTGGGTTAACAGAGACAGACAAATCTGAGTTCAAATTCCAGCTCTTCACATTAGCTATGTGATATTGGGCAAGTAGCCTTCATCTGTAAAGAGGGAATACTAATTACTAGTAGCTACCTCCCAGAACTATTAGTATTAGGTGGAATTATTCATGTCAAATGTTTTAATATAGCACATACTAGGCACTTAATAAAATGTTTAACATAGCACACAGTAGGCACTTAATAAATATTGTTGTTTTTAGTTATGGATATACTCACGAATTAAAATTTTTGCTGAAATGATTGCCTGACTTAACAGACGTCATCAGTGAATAGGACACTAGGAAGAGTTACTCATTGACCTAATTCTTAAGCATCTAATTTTAAACCTCTTATTGACTATAGAGCTGATGGCTATTCTAAATTTTATTATATTTCTATCGTGCTATTTTTCTCTTAATAGTTGATTAGTATTATAAGCTAAGATTTTAGTGGATTTTTATATTAGCATATTTTTCAAAGAAAATTAAATTGAGAGAATTGCTAGGATTTGTCTAGCATTGGTTTAGCGTGTCATATTGGCTCATGGTTTTCTGATGTTTTGATTTCTTTGGAATCTAATATATTCCCTAATTTGCAGTGATGGAGTTACTTCAAAGTAAAGAACAGAATTTTTCATCAAGGCCTAATTTTTCTCCAGGGAGTGGTTTGACTCTTGGGTTTCATTTAGCAGAACTTTCATTGAAAGTTAATAAAACTAAATCTTAGCTATACTGCTGGGATAATGAGAAGTGTCATAAAGTAATGACCTGTGTGTCTTTATTGATACTATATTTGCAGTACTGTAGTTCATTTATGACAGTTTATGAGCATTCTTTCTCATAATGATAAGTGGCTAAAGCAAAATTTTCTCACTTGGCGTCTCCTTAATTTGCAAAAGTTTAAGCTTTTAAATTCTAGCAAAAATGTACTTTTGTTTTGGAATTGCAGTCTATTTTTCATTAGAGTGATTAGTTTTTAGTTTCAAGATAATTCTGTTTTTTTAAAAATATTATTATATATCTTAAATATTCTTACATAAAGATACGGAAATATTTCACTAAATGCCTATGATTAACTTGGTTGGGATTTTAGATTCTACTTTTTCTCAACATTATTCTATAGACATTAATAAAATCAGACGAATCTTTACTAGGTGTTTTCTTAATGTAGAATTTAGGCTAACTGAAAAAATTTTTGAGGAACCTTTATGAATGATATATTTTCTGTGTATATTTTCCAATTTCCCCCTCTTTATTAGCCTCATTTCTTTTTATTCTTCCTCTTTAGGTTAGTAACACCTAGATAATTTGATGTAAAATGTAGAAAATTAGAAATCTATGAGCAGGATTTTAGGCAAATTGCTTGGTCTCAATTTCACTATCTCTAAAATGGATATACGATAAAATGTCATATATTTCTGGATTATTGAACTACTAAATCAAATAATGAGTGGGAATGATGGCTTGTTGAGAAAAGGAGAAAAGGAAATGGAAAATATCATTTATTAAAAAAACCTTTTGTGTAACAGGCATTTAAAAATCCATTACCCCATTTATTATAACTCTATAAAGTGGTATAATCACTTTAATTTTATAGTTGAGGAGACTAATATTAATTTAATTCTTTCTCTGCCAATCTCATTTTATTCCAGAAAGGGTGTCTCAGGGAGGTTTAATAATTTATTCAAGGTTACTTGGGTAACAGATGGCAAGCACTTGAACCAGCTCATGCCTTTCTAGTGTTCTGTGCAGGTTCCAAGGAAGTCATGTGTTCTACATCTAACATGTGCCAAGTTCTAGA